AGTCTCTAGCGCCATCAGTGAGCAGCGAGAACTCACCCGCTCGCGAACAATGTGACCACGTGCTTGTGCCGCGCGATCAACATGGCGAAAGGAGGAAGGTGCCAACCCAACGCGCACGTCCGGGTCCGGCCGTCCGGCTACAGACCGGCTTCTTGCGGCTCCTCGCGGTAACAGGTAGAGCTGACGGTTTTGTTGACCTCGGATAGATGGCGCCACTGAACCTCTATATAATTGAAGTTTTGTCGATGGCACCAGGTTTTTGACGCATTTATGTTTCTGCTGTTACGACAAGGTTTATAAAAAAATACCTTTTATCAAGAAGGTAGTTGCATTAAAGTCCCTCGATGTTTTTTCACTGCGTTAAGTTGCACATCTATCTATTTTTTTCCAAGTCCCCCTTCGACGTCACACCGCGTCGTTCGGATGGCTGCAGTTCGCAGCTGCAGATCGGGAAATATTCTAATTTTTGCCTCGTGATTACGCGGCGGAATCGCCACCATTTGAAGGAAAGATATGTGTTTTGTGTCCTTTGTGACGAGTAAACAACGTGCCGCATGTGCATCAAATGTGTCGTTGCTAATTTTGAGTTCGACATAGGACTACCGAGAAAGGTTGGTAACAGGGAGACGCAGAGATGAGTCTCGACTTGTTCTCAGGAACTCAGCTTTGGCGATTGAGGTGGCCATTTACTGTGATTGCAAGACTACGGTGTTGCAAACGCGTCTTCTACAAACCCTTGAAATTATTTCATAGGAAAAAAAAAGAAACTGTGAGTATTTGGAGGTGTTGCGTTTGGATAAATGCTCATTGTTTGGGCGAGCGCAAATTACGTCAGTGGGACCTGTCGAATGTCAACACATCATAGTTGACCAGATAGTTAGGTTATGGTGCCTGGATCGCGTCTTCGACTGGTGTGTTTAGCGTCCTATCCCGCCCATACATCAAAAGTGGTCCCGATGTGGCAACAAATGACGCGAATGTCATGCTGTTGCCTGTCGCGATCCTGGCGGTTGGCCGTAGAAAGGCTGGCGAAAAGCACGAGCGAACGCGAGTGTCGCTGTCGTCACGGAGTCCCTTTAGGCGTCCAACTCCGGCTGCTCTAGCTTCCGTGAACTGTCACAGTGGAAAGCGACCTGCAGCAGAACAGGCATCTGCCACATACACCTTAGCTGTTGGGACGTCGCCAGGGTCGCGACCGGCGACAGCATGACACTTTTATGACGTCATCAGGCGGAAATCGAGGGACCACTTTTTTGGCCGCAGTAAACACACCAGTCGGAGACGCGTTCCACGCACCATAGTTAGGTGAATGCGAATCAACGCATACGTTAACTCGCATTCGTACAACGCGTGAAGCTCTACCATGTAATGTCTGAACGATCGTTGCACATTAAAAAAAAAAAACTCCGCCAGTTTCGCCTGAGTTTGGCCAACACTTTCAGCCGTACTGGGCTCAGTCACGCCGATCCCCAAGACAAGCGAAATATCAGCTGTCTTCCTGGCGAGCACCGTTTGCCTTCATGAACTAAAATACAGATGCACCCTGTCTGAAGAGAACTAATGGCTGATATATCTCGCGCACGCTCTCGGTTATTCCTAGTCGAGCGCCGTTAGTCCCCAGCTTTTGCGCACGTACCTATGCCTGAACCATATCATCTTTTCGGGGAGCACCTGGCAGTTCAAAGGTCCCAATGCTGCCATTATTCCTTTGAGACCATATTTTTATTGCAGTGATATGGACCCCTCAGCGTTCTATGAAAACGCTACGAGTGCGTTACTTTCAGCTGCTTTGTTTCTATTTTTATAGCGTACGTGAGCAACTTAGAGGAGCATAATGACATGCAGACAAAACGCGACTTTAAAAAAATCTTTCAGCCTTTCCACTCTCATGAAGAAGGAAGACCAGCGAAGCTGTACTATGTCGGGAATGAAGTAATGGCCGGCCGCAAGCCGTCAAGCCAGAGTGGAAAGGCTGGAAAGGTTGCCGCCATCTATAAGGATGGTGATAGCTATCCAGAGTGCTGTGTCGACATTTGTTTGCTGGCGGACACTATACTCAGCGAACTAGCCCTGACAGCTCCGTTGTAATAATCTACTGTCCTCGCCAGAGGCACTGCTAAAAACTTGAAAGCGATAAACCTGTAGAGTCAGCTAGTCTCTAGGATGCGGCCTTAGGTTTCTTTCAACTCTTCTTTTGTGCCCCATATCATCTTGATGATATAACGTCTTCACTGACGTTCTACACACACTGTATAGTCAGTCAGCTTGTAATGAATGAATGTGAATGAAAAGGAAGGTAATGAAGCTTTGTGCTATAATTTTGTCTCGGTTTTGGTGAAAATCAAAAAGGAAACTCTGAAGATTTTACTGTACTCAGGGGAATGAACATAAGCATTCCATCCAAAAGTTTTTGTGAAACGCTCTGTCGGAGTGTCAACATCGTTTAATTTTGTTGCGACAGACCAATCTAGATTTTCGTAATATCTGTACAGCAATCCATAATAATCTGCCCTATTATGCCGGAAAAAAGTACAGCTATTCGTTTGAGGCGTGAGAAAGCTCAATGAAACAAAAAGCTCAATAGGGGGAGGTACTTATCAACCCTCACCTTCAAAGCACAAGCGACATTGACTTTGGGGGATAGGTCATTTGAAAGGACTAAATCCAACACTTTATTGGCCGCATTGAAAATGCTGTTTCATTCTGCAAAAATCATTAAGGTGTGCGCAATCAAGCTTACGAAAAGTTCTTAATCTTGCTGCCGTGTCACTGCAATTTACTGTTCCAGATCGCCACTCCACATCTGGGATCTGAAAATCGCCGTATATGCGCACACGGGAGTCGGACGCAGTAATTACAGACTCCAACATATTAATGTGATTGTTAAAAAAAGCCGAGCTCGAGAGTTGTGGAAAGTAGTATTTTTCTATCAAGCATCTTCTACCTAATCCAGGGGATTATATTTGTAATACGGTGTACTAAATAATGAAATAAATAAGCAGATAAATAAATAAAATAAAACGCTTATAAGTGTTTTCAGATAGGGACACTGACTAAAGACGCATGTGTTAAAAGAGGAGATCAGGTTTTATAAGACCCATCTAACATTTTTACATAACCTTTCTTGCAGACGACTCATGGGCATGAACCCGCAGGATGGGTGCAGGGGTTCTGCACAGAAGGTGGCTTTGGTGCACCCGAAGGCCCAAGGAGCCCTTCAAAAACTTCCGAAGTTCAGGAAGAGGTGGAAGGTTGGCTTATCACTGTAGTTAGTTGTAATGTAAGGAACACAGGATACATATGCTCCTTCCCCAAAGCCCTCCACTCTTTCCTATTAAGCAGAGCAAATGTTGGAGAGAAGGCAAGTGGAAAGGAGGATATCACTAATTATGGTGACCAGAGAGCTTTGCTTATCACCTTGTGCCGTGTTTCTTAACCTGCGACAAACTATGGGTAAGATTTTGTTTCATTTATCTAGTGAATTTTATCAAAACTGTTCATTTCCATTTCGAGGTTTTAATATTGAGCCCAAATGTTTTATTTGTTCATTCATTACGAAAAACTGTATCAAGATTTATTTTCCAAGGCAAGTTGTAAATTGATAATAAATAATTTCACCTAGACTGATGGAACTATTTCTAATATTTTTCACGCAATGAACACTTGCCTTTCCATCACAATGTGTTCACTGTAATGGTTCAATACCACGGGACCCGAGAATATAGATTACACCTTTGTTCGAATCTTCATATATTTAGAGGCAATTTTCCCCTTGGTACTGCTCATATTGCAGGCAATCACCGAAGCTCCTTGCACAAAAGATGCTGCATACACACCATAGGGAACTTCGGCTTCACCAGCTATATGTGTATGTATGTGCGACACCCCCAACAGGAGCATACATCTATCTATCTTCACGAAATTGTACATCTTGTAGAACCGAACTTACAAAACCTGGCCAGTGATAGTCCCCTTAAAAAGTTAGTGTTTTTTTCAGCGCAAAAATGAACTATGCATTGCAAGACGCTCAGTCTCCGCACAAATGTAGTGGTATCAGTCCGGAGCAGGTGCCAATGTTTCAGAACTTGCCATTTTATTTGGAAGTTACAAGTGATTTTCGGAAAGTTTCAGTGGGAAAGTAAGGCCCGTTCTTGTAGGCTCATGCCATGCATATCAATGTATTTGTGGTCAGATATTTTCTTATATAAAAAAAATTTGAAAGTCACTTATAACTTTTGAATCAAATAACGACAAACTGTGAAAGTTTGTCATTTAGTATAGACTCCTTGAGCTAAATTTGCGTGCGAACTGAGCGTTCGGCAATGTATAGTTTATTTTTGCAGTAAAACAAAACACACACCATTTTCTTTTTCTTTTATTTTTTTTTTGGGGGGGGGGGATTTTGTACAGTATGGTGAGTGTGCAGTCGCATGTAAAATGGAACATGTGCTGACATCGTTTCCAACAGAACGTATGCTACTTTTGAAAATGATGGCGCACTTCCCGTAGCTTGCAGCAAACAACACTTGTGCCATCATAGTGGTGTACGGGACACATGCATGCTAACCTTGTTTCCACAACATGTCCTCTACTAAGGAATTAGGATACATGTTCCGTAATTCAGTAATATAATACGTGCTGTGGCAACAAGGTCATCAGGGATATGTTCCGTTCTTAAACTGTCTTTTTTCTAACACGATAATTTTTGTTTGCAACCAGTTACAATAAAATAATTTATATATCGTCATTACTACTTGACTATGCCGCCCGACAACTTTCTGTGGCTATGCAGTCAAAGCTATGGGCGCAAGGGCACTCGTACACTTTGAGAACCGATCGGCAAATGAAAGCTGTGCACGTGCAATCTTCACTACTTATGAAGTGCCACAGAAAACTGTCCGGATATATAGGGCCATTGCCCTTGAAATGTTAAGGGAATATACGAATCCTTGACACTTTCGATCGCTGCAACAGTGAAGATGCGGTTGTATTTAGCTTTTTTATTTGCAGCCTTCCTCGTAGATATTATATTTGGCAGAGGTGCCGCAAAGTAGGTCGAAGACAAAATCGCAGACAGTGTCCTTTCCGAGCTGACTCTCCGGAACCAGAACACTGCAAGCGGGACCTGTAATGAAAACAAGGAAGGAAAGCATTCAACAAATAATGCATACTTACTCTTAGAATTTCACATTTTCACTTGTAAATGAACGAGGCATTGCGCTGGTCAATAATTGGCACAACTTCACATCATTCGCGACCAAGACGACTCTAATGAATAGAATAAACAAACATAAAAGATCAACATTACGCGATTTCAGAAGGGCCTGCCTGTCAACTGCACCGTGAATCACTCGGAACATCAATAAGTGATTTTTAAATAATGAATTTAGCCAATTATAACTGCGATCGGTGCAATGCTTCAACGGCCATGCGATTTTAGTAGCGGTGCCACATCTTTTTACCACTGAATCTTCATGGACATTGGGGCTCTGTATCCTATGACAATCTTACTGGTAAGCGGAGTAGAACACGGCCTACCATGGTGTTTCCAGTGGCCATAAGGGTTGACAATTAAATTGTGCCTCACTCCTCTGATCCGGAATTTACATGTCGCACAGGAGTGCATTCGGATTCGCGGAGAAGAAAACAGCATACGCTACCAATTGGTATATCTTTTGTAGGAATTGACAAAGAAATGAGGAGCGACATCTTAGTACAAAGAACCATGGCACTCTATTACGTCCTAACGGACTACCGTCGTGATCAATAGACCTAAAACACCCCATGCGGTATATTTTGTTTTGTTTTTCGGGGGAGGGGGGCGAGTGGCGATTTTCACAAGGTGTGCAATCTCAATTTATCAAATAGCCCGATGTACAAACCTTCGTATTCCATTCCTCGACCACAGCTTTCTCAAAAGCTAGCAGATAAACCATAGAAACATGAAGGCCTGTTCCAGCTCATATTGAACAGCCCAGTACGTATTGCTAATCCGCATATTTTTATTACCATTATTACTCTCTCAAAGGGAATCATGCAGTCAACTCATTTAAAATGTGAACTACCTGCTCGGGTTTCCCGACTAGTAATTGCAAAATCTGTTCGGTAGTACCACATCTTAAGAATTTCCAACCCCAATTTTGCAATCCGAACATCGTTCTAATATGAAAATATTTCAAAGTTGGCATGAAATTGTTGATTTCACCTGGTGTGATGTAGGGATGCCTGTACAGAGCGCAGGAGGCACAGTCCACGTAAGGAATGTGCACGCCCAGCATTCCTTCTGTTAAAAAAAAAGAATAAAATCATTTATATTTTGCAGAAACAAAAATCTACACGAAACCCGGTTTGCAAGTTTAAGACCCATTCTCTGATGCGTTTAGAATGCGAACTTCGTAATAAAAACTACAACAACCTACAGTTGCCCTTTTAGAACGCACAATTCAGGTTGCATAAAAATCTGACTTAAAGTTTCGATGAAATAAGACACTTTTTTAGTCTTATTTTATGTAAAGAATTCACTTGTTATGTAATTTTATGTAAAAATTCACAAGAAATGCATATTTATATTCTTCTTATCAGTATTATTTTATTATTATTAATATTATTATTATTGTTCCTAGTTGGCAAACTCAAAAATTTTTTGAAAGTTTTAATCTCTAAACTCACACGCAAGTAAAAAATAAAGAAGAAAACTGCTTTTTTGCGTTGTTTTATTACGTAAATAATTTTAATGAAGAAAAAAGATATAGCACTTTTTTTAAAGAAAAGCCTCTAGAGAAAGGTATACTGTTTCAAGTAATTTTATGCAATTTAATATTGCCGTCCAGAATACGAAATTTAGTTTGAAGGTGTCCAAATGTAGAGTTGAATGCTGTCCAACATAATTTATAAATGTCATTCCCCTTCACTATACAAACAAATATATTAAAAGTTTCACACAGAAAAAAAAAATTGGTTTCAACTGAACGGTATGTTTAACATACAAGACAATTAAAATATTTTTAAAGACTACAGATTTGTAAGGAGATAAATACTGCCGTGGTATATTTTTTTGAATGACTGGATTTCAGTATGGCATATCAGTGTGCAAGATTGTAGCTACTTACGAGGTGTTTTGAACTGCAGCGCGTTCTTGACTTGATAACCCTGGTTGGACTTAGGGGTAATGGTTACATTCCTGTGTTAAAGACATACATAAATCGTGCATAATAATATTGTCGAAGGGTTTATTATTTTGAATACTGCAGCCATATACCTTAGGTGTAAAATGAATTTGGGATTATAAAAAAGGTACGCTTCCTGAAGCATGTGTTCAGATAATTCTAACGCACATTCTCAATTTTTTTTTAAAGTTTCAATATTAGACAAATAGCTTTTGCAGGAAATCTTTATAAAACAAATGTTTTATAAAAATAAGTAGGCGGTGTAACAACACAAAAGTTTAACAAAGGCTTGTAACGCGAAAGTATAACGAAAAAAGTGTAACACGTTAAATATAATTAACTTACGCCTTGCTAAATTTAGCATCAAACCTGAATTGTCATGATTAATTAGGCTAAATTAGGAATAACGTAGCGTGACCACTGAGCTCATAGCAGCTCAAAACACGCTGCATGTATCGTCTTTCTGTGATTGGGAACACTGACGTAAATGAGGCTGGTCACATGCTTTTACTATTCTAGGGGATGTTGACTCGGAACTGCTTCTGAAAGACAATGAATCTTTAAAGGGTCTATTCCAGTTGTTATGAAATTTTGTGTCTGTGTGTGTGTGTGCCGGAGGGGGGATAATTTTCTCTGCTCACGTTCGGGTTCCCCCGGTGTGAAGAAGAAGGGGGGCAGCGCCAGCTACTATTGGTCCGGTCTGAGAACCCTTCACGCACTTCGCCTTTCCTCCAAAACCCGGGTCGGTTTCGTGGCTTCGGTATGTCAGATACCATGTCTCTTTCAGAGGGAAACACTGTGGAAAAGAGGCATACATTTAAACTACACGATGAAACTCTGGAAAGTCGGGAACACTAATCAGAGAAGAGGCTGCTAACGTGCAATATTTGCGAGTTTCTATTTGCGGTTAATTGCCTTTACTGGCATGCCTCAACATAGACGTGGCTTCTTGGGGCTCAACACTTTTTCTCGCAAGATTCTTTCTTTTTTGTACTGGACACTGGAAAGGGGGCTTTCAGGCTTGGCCTCGGGGCTTGCACTAGCGCTTTTTCAATATTTTTGGCTACGCAATAAACCCATCCCGAAATTTAATCTGTCTACTTTCATAACTCTGATAATCTGAGTAGATTGCATCTGCGTCGTAGTGATGACGGCCTTTATTTTAGCCTCAAAGCGCAGGACGATTGCTTAATTCAGAACTCAAGCAATTATGTAGTGTCTCAAACTAGAAATTCAATCACATTGCAGTACTCACCTTATACCATTTTTTTTATTATGTCTCCGCCGTGAAGTATAAAGGGTCGTTCAAGGTTAACCGGGATATCTATTTCTAAAAAGGGAATGGGAAATCCTACAGGCAGAAAACTATATGAGCTGTTGAAAGTATTCCCATTGCCATCCAAGCACCACTGCCTTTATTTTGAAAGCTCCTTGATTCTGTTGGCGTAGAAAGTAATTGGGTAGCTGTAATCGAATGAACGTGTGCGTGCGGGTCGCTTGTCGCCGGCTACCGTCCTTCGCCAAATTGTTGATACCATCTTTACACTCTTGTCCGTGCCACCACTTGTTCCCCTTACTGTACCTGCAACTTTCTCAAAATATTAACTGGTTGAAATTTGACCTTTTCTAGAAACTTGATAGTTCACCACTGTTAATTTCAACACACTACAGCAGCATTACACGCCAATATAGTAGCAGGAACTGCATGCTCACACGTCAGAAACGTCTTTATAGGCTCTGGATATTCAACAAAGATTATGGTAACATCCTTTGCAAGGTTCATTATATGCTACACTTGTTCAGCGATATCTTAAGGGAAAAAGTGACAATCAACTTTTAAGGATCCTTAAAAAAGTCGGAACTTCAATGGAATACAAATTTCTTTGGCACTGCGCCCTCGCACCTGGATTGCCTACTAAAGCTGTGACCCTTTTTTTCTGCGGAAATAATACAAAAAGTTGTCCTCTAGTACTTTTTTTTTTGTACGGGACCTCATGGCCTCATAGACAATACGCCGACGGCATTATAATAGTATATCGAATCGCAACGTCGAATGATAGGAAACAATGAACAAAGCTGAGCGAAATAATATTCATTGCATCATTGCCGTATCCTTCAAATAAAGTGATGGCGACAGTTCTTCACGTTTTTCGAAGCATTGTTCGGTCACACGATGCGAGGAGGATTTCTAAGATTTGATTCTGTAAAAAAAAAAAAAAAGCGCTTAACTCTTCGTTAAATAGTCTCTGAACTTTTCCCCACAACACCATTCTGCACAAACGAACAAATCAGGTCTATTAGTCCAGCGAAGGTCACCGGAAAGTCCACACATCCATCATTATTTTAAGTCTGGGGAAGTCCCACAACACACATGAAAAACTTATGAAGAAATTTAGCGTGTAAAGTTCTCCGCTTAATTTTCTTGCTAAATATTTAAAAAGGGACAGGAAAGCTTTCTGGCTAAGTTTAGCTCTAGTCGGTCACTGCGACGATCACACACACAACGGCGATCATTCCCAACGATCGGCTGGTATGTATTACGGGCCATACCAGTCTGCATCTGCGAAAACGGCTGTGAAACGTAAATCCTTGTGTACAGAAAGACTTACCTTCCATACCTCCTGGTATTTTCCGAGCTCTGGCCTTAGCTCCGGGTATGCTGCAGCGGTATTATGCGTGTGAGCAGCATTGATGACTCCGCCAAGTGTCAGTAAGGCCGCCGCAAGGGTAACCAGCATGGCTGTCATTGTTGTCGCTTGAAGTATTTAACGCGTGCTGTAAGATGTTCGGCGTAGCAAAGCCGTCGCTCTTTTGACAACAAGCAGCAACAAGACCGATATACTTCATCAGTACAAACGCAGAGTTAAACCCTAGAGGCAACTCTATTCAATTTTCTAGATTTTCCGGTCACGAATGCACTTTTTGGATTTAATGCACCTAATGTATCGAATAGAACTTTTGTTTTTTTGAGACTGATTAAATGACGGTGTATATTCGACCTCAAATTTACGCTTTAGTGTTTTAGCGTGAAACGGCGACGATAATTCTGCGTGGTTTTCTGTCTTGAGGCGGCGACGTCACTTTTGCGCCACCTTGCATTTGATTGACTGAGTCGGATGACGCAGATTCAAGCGAAAAGCTTTAGTGATTAACTCAAAGGACACTGAAAAAAAAAATAAAAATAAAACTTTGACTGCAGGATGATGACGAATCTGTTTCCAGTGTTGCATCAGCTGCAGCACGCCAGTTCACAAAATCGATGGTAGAATTTTCGCTCAGACTATCTACGATAGAAACTCCGGCGTAGTTTCGGTTCGAAATTTTTTATTATGACCTCATTATGTCTCATTAAAGCAGTATCAGTAACATTTGATTTTGTTCAAGATATGAGCAGACTTTCCTTTTGAACTTATAAATCTCTATAGTTGGTACCCGATTGTAAATTGAACATTGAACATCCGCAGGTTGTACTCCATAGTCTGAAGTTGATTTATTTAACTGAGTTTTTGAACCCCTTTGAGTATAATGGTGTGACTTGAATAAAGTAATCTTATTATGGCTAAACTAACGTAGTAGTCCAAACGGAGAGCCGCCAGCAACTTGGTTAACTGCTTTTGAACGAAACAAACGTAAACAAATATTCAACTTACAGATCTTTTGGTATAAGGGGTGACCGCCGGTCAAATGGTAACGACAGTAAAAAACTGGCTGCGGCAGATTCTCGGTGACGTCCTTCGAAACTCTCTTAGAACGATACGTTTTGTTGCGCGCATTTTTATAGTGTGCTAGAGGAAGCAGATTTTTTTCGTATATTTAAGCTAGTTTGAATACATTATAGGTTTGAGGTCTTATGGGACGCGTGCCAACTATACACTGCGAAGCTAGATAGAAGCTTAATTGTTCTTAATATTTCTCGACGGTAACAGCATGCAGATGGTATTGGGTAAACGCTGCATACTGTCGGAAGCTCCGTCAAAAGTGTGCAGTAAAAAAAGTCAAAGAAAAAGTTTTGAAATTCTGAGCGTGGGTGTTCTGCGGGGATTTGTTAGCTTCGAGTTGCGTATACATGCGCTGTTTTGCTTCGGTATGCGCATCTAAACTGAGTTTTGCAATGTAAATTAGTTTCAGTTAGGTTATTGAGACAGCTTCGTTAAATTTAGAATTAATAGGCTGCAAGAGAATTTAATCCTGATAGACGCAAAGCGCGAGGTCTTTGAGAAGCCATCGCCCTTTGTTTGAGGCGAACCGCCTAAATTCCTGGGTAACCTAATGAGATGAGACTTGCTGCATATTTATTACTATATTTTTTCTTTTTTAGGTGATCGAATTTACATAACAGAAACCAAGTTAACCATTTTGTTCTTAGCCCGAGACTGAGGCAGGAAAAGAGGAAAGTTTCGAAGTAGAAGAAAAATGAACAGTCGAGGACACGTCTCTAACACAGCTAAAGACAAGTTTATTTGGTCACCTTCTTATATACACTCCACAAACTTCACCACAGCACCTTCCCGATCTCGAAAGCCAAAAGATAACAAAGGTCTCACATCTTTCCACCACAATTGTCAAACGACCTTGACGTTTTCCACAAAGCAATGAACAATAGCTCCCCTCATCCGGAAGACACTTGTGAATCCTTCGCGTACACAGTACACTCTCTCCCTCTACTCTCCGACCCATAATCACAAAGCATCCCGGTAACAGAAGATATCAATCCACGTGATACACAAAGGAAGAAACCACTTACACCTTCACATTCAACAAGCACTTCACAAAACTTTCAAATCCGCAAGAATGATTTTGCGCTGCTGCTAAGCTGTAACGACACCTGACTAATGCAGTTGCCCATTGATTTCATTCTTATTGTTTCTTTTACAACCCTTTTGATGTCGTTTAACTCCCTGTGTATTATCTCTGTTTCAGACCAGTGGGGTATACAATTATTACATTCTTGAACATGTTTCGCTATTTCCGAATTGGCAACGTTGTTTTTGACATTCCTTTTGTGTTCAGTCAATCTGTCATTTATACACCTTGACGTCTGCCCCACATATTTAAAGCCACATTCCAGGGGGATTTCATATACCACTCCATTACCACACGGAATAGACTTTTCTCGATGTGTTTTTGCGCATTCCCTTACACTTTTGTGGAAAGGTGTGAGCTTGCTCAACTTATAATCCGAACTAAAAACCAGATCTACATTGAACTTCTTGGCACAAGCCTTTAAGTTGTGAGAAATTTTGTGATAAAATGGAATTACAATAGTTCTATTTTTTGGCCTTTGCTTCGGTTCTCCTGTACATTTGTTTGCGAATTTTACGGATAACTGCTTCCTTACGAATTCATCCTCATAACCAGCACCGTTTAGCCTTCTCCACTGTCTTTCTACCGATTCGGCCAAGAAATGTGTACATGATCTTTCTATTGCATTTGTGATTAAAGACTTTACAATACCCGCTTTCACTGTTTTTGAGTAAAGTCTTTAATCACAAATGCAATAGAAAGATCATGTACACATTTCTTGGCCGAATCGGTAGAAAGACAGTGGAGAAGGCTAAACGGTGCTGGTTATGAGGATGAATTCGTAAGGAAGCAGTTATCCGTAAAATTCGCAAACAAATGTACAGGAGAACCGAAGCAAAGGCCAAAAAATAGAACTATTGTAATTCCATTTTATCACAAAATTTCTCACAACTTAAAGGCTTGTGCCAAGAAGTTCAATGTAGATCTGGTTTTTAGTTCGGATTATAAGTTGAGCAAGCTCACACCTTTCCACAAAAGTGTAAGGGAATGCGCAAAAACACATCGAGAAAAGTCTATTCCGTGTGGTAATGGAGTGGTATATGAAATCCCCCTGGAATGTGGCTTTAAATATGTGGGGCAGACGTCAAGGTGTATAAATGACAGATTGACTGAACACAAAAGGAATGTCAAAAACAACGTTGCCAATTCGGAAATAGCGAAACATGTTCAAGAATGTAATAATTGTATACCCCACTGGTCTGAAACAGAGATAATACACAGGGAGTTAAACGACATCAAAAGGGTTGTAAAAGAAACAATAAGAATGAAATCAATGGGCAACTGCATTAGTCAGGTATCGTTACAGCTTAGCAGCAGCGCAAAATCATTCTTGCGGATTTGAAAGTTTTGTGAAGTGCTTGTTGAATGTGAAGGTGTAAGTGGTTTCTTCCTTTGTGTATCACGTGGATTGATATCTTCTGTTACCGGGATGCTTTGTGATTATGGGTCGGAGAGTAGAGGGAGAGAGTGTACTGTGTACGCGAAGGATTCACAAGTGTCTTCCGGATGAGGGGAGCTATTGTTCATTGCTTTGTGGAAAACGTCAAGGTCGTTTGACAATTGTGGTGGAAAGATGTGAGACCTTTGTTATCTTTTGGCTTTCGAGATCGGGAAGGTGCTGTGGTGAAGTTTGTGGAGTGTATATAAGAAGGTGACCAAATAAACTTGTCTTTAGCTGTGTTAGAGACGTGTCCTCGACTGTTCATTTTTCTTCTACTTCGAAACTTTCCTCTTTTCCTGCCTCAGTCTCGGGCTAAGAACAGAATGGTTAACATCCACCAGCTCGCCTGCGCAATCACTACATTATCATAGAAACCAAGTTTTTTTTTTTTTGAAGGCGAATTTGAATTAAACTTTGTGAGGACCGAAATCGCTAATGTAAACCAATGAATATTGGTTCGAATATTATTTGCTCGATTTGCATTGTACAAGCTTGCCGTGCGGAGGCAATACAGAGATTTTATATTTGTTGACAAAGTTGTACACGGAGAAGTGAACTCAATTGATTTGTTGCGTTTTTTAGAGTTTCATGTTCCGTCAAGGGTCAAGAGGAATGTACTAACTTTTCACTAATCTTGTCTGTCTTCAGCGTCTCCTTTATCGATAGTTCAATTATCTTTTAATAAGGCTCCCCTGGACATTTTTTTTCCTAGCAGTTTATGTTTCATGTGCTAAGGTGGATGTCTTTAAACTACCTACTGTAACGCGGGATTTGTGCAGCCTTTTCAGTTTCTGTTATATATTGTTTATATTTTTATTGTAACGTGTTTTTATTAGCTTGATATAGTGCTGTGTTTTAGATTGCTTTGCTTGCACCACATTACAGACTGTAAAGTTGTTCGTGGGCACAGAAAAATAAAGATTTCTTCTTCTTCCTCTTTTTTTAATATTATTATTAAAGCGTGAAAACAGCTAGACATTGCATTTTGTGTTTCTTCAAATTACATATTTATTTACTAAATTAGTATATACTTGTGGGATGTTATATATTATACTTGTCATGATAATTATTTCGATTGACAACTGATCCTGCACATACTCACCTTAAATAGTTTAGCAAAAATGTACGAACAAATCAATTTACTAATTTCCAAATAATAGGTATTAAATTATAATTTATTTTTTCACCTGCTACACAGAGATCCCGTGCGCCTGAACGAATTACAGTTTAAATTAAAACCATGGACATCACTTGTGTTTCTCTTTATCGTGCCTTTATTCCATTTTGTTTGGATCACTTCTGTATTGTTATAAATGCAAATTGTGTGCATGAATGATAAGGTTTTATGGGACACTGCCAAAAATTGGAAGTGGTTCCCGAGTTCCTACTGAAAAAAAAACCCAGACTACTGTAGTTAAGTTTGTGTGGGATATACAAAATGCCAGCAAATCACGCTGGCAAAAAAAAAAAAAACTCTAGCTTCAAGGTTAGGACAACGGAGGGACATCCGCTCATACATTAAGTTTTTCTTTAATGCTGACATGAGTGTGAGCCCTTTCGGTTTTTCTAAAGGCGAAAATAAGGGAAAAGAATGCAAAAGATTGTTCTCATGACATTTTATTTTCTATGTGATCATGCATAAAAAAAAATCCAGCAGTCAAACAAAAAAAATTCTTACAGGTTTTAAGTAGAATGGCTGGAACATGTGCAAAAAAAATTAAATTCAATTTTGACATATGCGTGATATTCAAGCACTTAAGCATGTTTTGTTGTTCAATGACCGTTAAAATTCGAGAACCCATTACGAGAACCGTGCATTTTAAAACCTATATCTATCCCCCGTGATTTCACGCCCTGTTGATATGCTCATTGGATCCCTCGACCTTGTATACGACAAAGCAAAATATGACAAAATATGCATAAATGATATTATCTATTAGAGACCATGGCGGTTTAATTTAAGGTTTCGATTCATAAGTACTAAAGCATGTACCACCTCGGCGTAGCTTGCACACATCGTAATAAAATGCTCCACATATCGTTACCACTACTCGCCGTTGCCGTTGCAATGTTAAGCGGGTTTTAAATCCTTTACACTTTTAATGCAACATGAAAAACATTTGCCTTTAGCGTTTTCCTTTGCAGCCTTCTTCGTAGGCCTGATATTTGGTAGGTTCTCCGCAAAGCAAACCGAAGACCAAATGACAGGAGGTGGCCTTTCCCAGATGACGTCCCGGAACAAAAATACTACAAGCAAGCCCTGCAATTAAAGCACAAAAAAAAAAAAAAGAAATCAGTGCAATTACGCCTTTACAGTCTCGCATTTTCGCTGGTAAGTAAATGAGGCATTTGCGCTGGTTAATAATTGACACAAGTACACATCTTTTGCGACCTATACGAGTAATAATGAAGAGCGCACGTACAAGTAAAAAAAATAAATAAAACTAGCAGCCGGCACACTAAAAAAGCCCTTACTGTATGCTGCATCATTATACTCCTAACA